GAGTAGGATGGGAACCTAGGATGCAAAACTTTTGTACGGCAAAACAATAAAAACACATTCTAGACACAAGGGGTGAAATGGGCTAAAAGTATGGCTTAATTATTGCAAAAAAATTTAGAATTAGCTCAATTTACCTCCTCTTGGGCATCTTGATCATTTCAAAGGCTTTATTTCAATGTATATGTATCCAACTCAATCCATATGTGTTCAAATGGAATAGAATAAAATTTAATTTAATTCCACTCCAATCCACACGTGCCAAAACCTAAAATGGCAGCTGACCAGCGCGTGGATCCATATCCAGTCACGACAAAAAAGGCCCGTGGGCTGAACTCAAAAATGTACTGAAGCAAAGCGGAGCAAAAGGATTTTCAGAAAGTGTAACGCCACATAAAACGTTTCGCCTTTAATTTCTTTCTCGAGGATGAGGGCCCCGTTCACGTGCCCTTAAACCCGGCTTGATCCGCTTCTTTTTTTTATCCGGAACAGTATTTTCCTCTCACAAATTCCTCCAGCATTCCTCCAAACCATCCAAATTCCTTCAGAATTCCTCCAAGCGAACAGGCCCGAGGACGAAACTAGAAATGTGATTTAGCACGCAAAAGAGGAAATGCCATGTCCAAAAAAGAGACGGTCTTGTGAAAAGGATTTTCTGTGGAAGCGTGTCAACGTGGTACCCCGTACAAGTACTGTGAGGCTGAGAAATTTCATCAACTAGATGGCACCCCGCGCTTAGCTGCGAGCAGGCCGAACTATAATTTATAACTTTTGTATTGAATAAGCCACATATATGGAAGATGTATATGTCTGCATTCCCTGCATTTACAGTTGAGTTGCACAAGGCAAAAGGCCAAATTTTGCCTTGTTAATATTTATACACTCGTTGCAAGCGGCTGATATTTACATGATAGATGTATGGGTATATATGCAGGTAAGTGGAAATTTTGTAGTGACCAATAGTTGCCCTGGAAGTAATATAAGAGAGAAAATGTTAAGAGTTGAAAGAAAATTGAGAGGAAACAGGACCTATTTTTTCGACTCAGAGATTATTGCATGTTACCTTTTCCCTATTGGAATTATCATATGCATCGATGAGTTTATGAGGATAACAGGTTATGACAATACAATTTCCTGCACTTAAACCGTCAAGAGAATGTGAACCGCACACTGTCAGTAGCAGAGGTGACCATACGAAACGAAAAGTAAACTGCATAGAACATGCTAGTTTATAGAGGCTTCCCTATTGGACCTATCACATGTATTGATGAGTTTATCAGGATAACAGAGTATGAAAATGCAATTTCCTGCACTAAAATAAACCATTAAGAGAACATGAAACAAAAATTGAAGAACAGGGAGTAATTCTTTGGAATCAGTAGAAGAACACTTTTGAGACGAACGACACTGAACATAGATGTAGCAGGAGATAGCGTGTCTAAAAACAACAAATACACCAAATCAGGAGAATCGAAGGTGAATTTTTTTTAGAAAGAGGCTAGAGCATAGGCAGATCACCTTATGAGCAAGGCAAACTGAATCTCCTGTGTAACGACAGGGATACTACGGAATGTAGTGCAGATATTAATCCTTCGAGACCAGTAGAAGTCCTTTGAGATTTACCAGACTGGTCACAAACTTAGAAGGACCTACTGAGAAAGGAAGCACCAACGCATCAAATTAGTTGAACTGAAGGTAGAAAAAAAATCTGTAGTGGAACAAAAACTGCAGGGAGGAAGTAAAAGCAGTTATATGTCCAAACATAAGGATGCAAACAGAATCTAAGACATAAACATGCATCAGAGGTAAGAGCATGTTCGCTTGGTCGTAAACGATCGTGGATTATAAGCCAAAACAGTATTTTTCTCTCACACCAAACCAGCCAGCAGTAATAATCCACAATCGTTTCAGCTGAAACGAACAGGCTGAGGTAGGAGCACGCTTTATACTGTCAGCATCAATGCTCAGAACTAACATAGGGCCACGCTGTTAAATCATCGCTTTGTCACAAATTCAGTAAGCAACGGTTGCATTAGCACGAGGTTACCCTAACAGGCACAATATGCACCATCAGAAGAAGCAGAAAGCAATAGCAAAGTTATGCACCGATAATTGTAAAAAAACAGCAGCTGATCCTGTGAAACCAACAGAAGCAACCCAAACGTAGAGACCGCGAACCTGGAAATATAGCATATGAATACACAACACTTGTTAAAAGAGAACTGAGGCTGCGTAACGACAACATAAAATAGAACTGCAATTACTGAATACAAACAATGCAACTCAAACCATAATGCATCAAATAAGTTAATTGATATGGCTGTATGTTTGGATAGTTCTGCATGGGAAATTACACAGAATAAAGATGGACTTTGAAACATAGCTGTACAGATCCGCCACTGCAGTGTACTGATGAGCACGTAAAACAGTATCCAAAAGGACTTACCTCACGAAGTTCCTGTAGCCTGTTTAAAGCATTTCCTTGATGGACAGTGTCTCTGTGAGGCTCGTGAAACCTCGGGCGTTCCATGGCTGGCAAAAAACAGTAAACTATGAAGACAATGACTCGATAGCAACGTTTACAGTAGGCTGGCACAGCTAATAGCCTAATAATTAGTAATACTTTCAGGGACCAAAGGTGCAGGTGGGGGAGCAGACAACACATTTGGATGATTCAGAAACACAGTTAGAAGATGCAGCCTAATTAGAACTGTAGAGAACACAAATGCATCTTTACCTTGGTTTAGAACTGTAGAAATAGAAACGCATCTTTACCTTGGTTGGATGCATGTTCAGGTCGATGTCCTTGTTCTATTATCATGCGTTCAGCTATGGATTTATAAGCATGCCTGGCCTCGAACTGGAAAACTGCAGACATGCTTGGTAGAACTCTCGAAACTTTTTTTTTTTAAAAAAAAACTACTGAGAGGATGTATCCAACCGATTGATGAACTAAGGCATGCTTGGTAGAACTCTTTCATTTAAAACTCTTAATAAGAATGGATTTTTTGTTGAAGTGATTATGCAGTTAAAAGTGATTGTAAATGTTTCTCTAGAATAAATTTTATGTATATAACGTGATTTTTTGCGTTCAGTAAATCAAGAGAACTACTTTTTCAACTTTTAGCCACCTATTTATTTTAAAACACTTAGTAGGAGAATTAATGTAAATCAATTTTAGCAAAGCGGCCTGAGAGCTGAAGTTCACAACTAACAAATACTAGGCCCTAGATCCGAAAAAGAGAAAACATTTTCAAAACCGGGACCACATGCCTTACAGGATAAGGCAAAGCTGTTTTCCTCAAAGCAGCCGCAGCTGATCGGTCTAGAAATATCCTGAGCTTGTCTGCTTGACTCATCTACTGTCCTCACTTACACACGGAACTTATGTGATTCTTAGTTAAATATTTTATCTTTAACTATTAATTTTTAAAAAATTGTATAGTTCATAACACGAGATTTATGTTCTCAGGAATATTTTTATGATTTATAGTTTATATATTATGAAACTATACAGATTTTTACAATTAAAAATATATGATTTAGATAAATCTAATGTGACGTGTAAAATAACTAAGGGAGTAGTTGTAATCTCCGGCTGCAATCATCCGAAAAAAAAACTTTATCCACAAGTATCATGCCTTAATTAGTTGGGAAATTACTGGAAGGTCACTGCCGTCCTCATAAATCCTTCCAGGCTCATTTGTCTGTTGGGTCCCACCAGGCGGCAAATTGCTACACGTGTCCTACGATAAACCCACGAAGTCCTCCCGTCTGCATAAATTACTTTGCCTTATTTTTACAATCATATTTGTATAGGGTATGTCTCCACAACAGGTGACTGATGGTTTGCTTAACCATCAGTCATCTTCAACCTCCAGACGGGCTGCTTGTTCATGCCTTGCGAGATGAGTGCTCGAGCAGGAGCGCTGCGGGGAGGTAGGGCCCGGGGGGCGTTGGCGGCTATCTCGCCCTCCTGCCTGTTGTCATCCTCTGTAGCGTGCATGGGGCGGCCGCGAGAGCTCGCGGAGGCCGGCCTCGTGTAGATCTCGTCGGTCATGGTGGCGGCGGCGAATGGGATGGGTGCAGCATGATGAGTCTAAGGGAAGAGAGGTTTGGGCTGGCTGCTTGCTTAGGCCTGCAGTCTTGCCATTGGATCGGATCGGGAGGAAGAGAGTTGGGCTGGTCTGTGCTGGGCCAGGTGCTGCGCTGGTTGGGCTGAGCTGATCTGGGTGACTGATGGAATTGCAAATTTTCAGGCGACTGTAAATAAGTAATTCTGATTTGTATAAAATGTAGTTGGTATTAGTTTTCGAATAATAGTATAACGTGTTAACACAGACATTCATGCATGTACTTACACTAACCCTTATAAACGTACACACTTCTCCCTTTTAAAGTTTGACCATATATACAAAAATCTACTAATATTTTGATGTATAATAAACATCTTTCGATTGAACATAGAATATACTTTTATAATAAATTTATTTATAAATATAAATATTGATACTATTCTCTATATTTATAATCAAACTTAGAAAATTAGCTTCTCAAGAAGCGAGGTGCACTTATTTTGAAACAGGAAGAGTACACCATTAGGGCATGTACAACGGGTCCCTTCACCCCGTCCCTTCGGCGTAGTTTTTACAGAAAACACCTCGTGAGAGCGTAGAGACGGAGCCGGCGTCGCCTCGCGAGGCGACAGGAACGTCCCGTGCTCCGAGAAGAAAAAGATGGCTCCAGCAGCGATGTACGGGCCACCTCCTCGACTCGTCGTTGCGCGGATCCCGGGCGCTCGCGCGCGCAGGTGTGATTCGCGCGCGGGGAAGGTGCTCTCGCGCCCAAATCTTCTCCATATGTACCTAGTGAAGGTGAAGCATTGCCAGGTCCTTTCTTCTTCCTCGCCTTTCACCGCCAACCTTCGGCGACCGCTATGTTGAGCGCATCGGCTAGGAAGATCAAGCTAGTTGGCTGCTGCTACAGTGACGGCCGTGGCCCCAATGCACACATCCGGTCATGGAAGTGGCTCGATGGCGGCGGCCTGCAACCTCGGTCGTGGTGGTGGCTCGGCCTCAGGCGCGGATTCTGCGGGCCGAACCCTAGGTCGTGGAAGCAGATCAGCGTCGGCGGCGGCGTCCCGCCCTATCTTTGGTGGTCTCGGGTACAGCGCAGCGATGGCTCCATCCTCCATTGATGGATCTGGCGGAGCTGCCTTCCTCGGCCCGGCGACAGCTCCATCATTGGATGGTGGGTTTCCATCCCCCCCCCTCATCATCTACTGCTTGGTAGGAATTAGGCATTGTTGATCCGATTTCTCCATCGTTTGGGCGTTCAGCAGGTTGGGATCCATCATGGTAATATCTATCTTTTATGCTATTTGGATTAGTGTCAGCTCATAGTTCAGATTTTAGAGTTTCACAAAAAAAATTAGTGTCAGCTCATAGTTCAGAGTTCACATAAATAATTTTAGAGTTCAGATTTTAGAGTTCCACAAATAATTTTAGTGTCAGCTCATAGTTGAGATTTCATAGTTCACATGAAAAAATTTACAGTTCAGATTCCAGAGTTCATATTTTCAGAGTTCCACAAATAATTTTAGTGTCAGCTCATAGTTCAGATTTCAGATTTTAGATTTCAGAGTTTTATATAGCTGCCCAGTGTTCATTTTGTTTCATTTACAGTGTGATGGAGTGAGTGTTTCAGTTATCTGAATCTTTGTTGTGTGGTGGTCTCATTTATCTGAATCTCTGCATTTACAAAATCAATAGCCTGAATGTAATATTTGGGTAATTTGGACTTCATATATGCATTGGTAATGAAACTAACTATGCCCTGTAGCATACTTAGTCTTGATGGTTATTCATGCATCGCTAGAAAACACTCTTGTATTATTAGTTTCAAGGTTTGGGGAGTTATAGTATTTTGGTAATCAACCACACAATTTTCGCCAACTAGCTTGCTCTTTTCTAGCCGATGCCGATGAAGACCCACGTCCATCTAATGGGTTTCTGAGCTCTTACACGATTTTCATGAAGAAAAGGTCTGATGCATGTTTAACCTGAACAAACATTGCATCTAATGGGTTTCTGATGCATGTTTAACCTGAACAAACGATTTTCTAGCCGATCTACCTTGTTGGACGGCATTCTACTATATTCAAGTATCTGAGTATGTTCTGGATAGCATTTTATTGTATTGAAGTATGTTCCCTTTTGTTCAGTTGAAGTATCTGCGTTGGATGTGGCAGTGGCAGCCCCGGCCCGTACCCTCGGTCGCGGTGGCTTCTCAGCGCCGACGGCTCTCTCTCTCGGTCGTGGTGGCGGCTCGGCGCTGACGGCCCGCTCTCTCGGACGTGGCGGCAGCTCAGCAGCAGCAGGGACCCACCCAACCACCGGTGGTGTCGGCAAGGGCGCGACGACAGCGCCATCCTCCATTGATGGATCCAGCGTTGGTGGCTTCCCCAGCATAGATGGATTTTCGTTCCCTCATTCACCGGCTCAAGCCTGGTTTGATGCGGCCGACAGTGATCCCTCTTCTCCTGTATCATGGTAATCCCTCTTCTCCTGGTTTGTGATTTTTTCAATTTACAATCATTGTTTAAGATCCAGTAGAAGAATAACATATATTGGATATATGATTGTGCTATATTCTGCAACTTTTTGGATAGATGATTCTGCTATATTCTACAACATATTGGATAGATGATTGTGCTATATTCTGCAACATATTGGATAGATGTTTGTACTGTGCTATATTCTGCAACTCAAAGCCATAGTGGTTATTGTTTGTTTCCTGCAGGGACAAAGATCCACGTCCATCTGGTGGTTTCATGAGCTACTTCGGAAATCAGCCACACAACTTTCATTTGGTTGGTGCGCCTATTCACAACAGCCCTTTGAATAGACCACTGTCCACCAACAATGATGCAAGTTCACAGCCTGAAATAGAAATATTACTTGACAATGACAATGTTAGGACTGAGAAGAGGATCCTATGGACAGAGGAAGAGGATCTTAGATTGATGAGCGCTTGGATAGAACATTCAATAGACTCTACTTGTGGAGCCGATAAGGGTGGTAACCAGTATTGGGGTGAGGTTGTTGAATCCTACAACAAGACTACCCCACCACTTCGAAAGAGAAATCTGAAGCAATGCAAGGATAGATGGCACAAGATTAATAGGTGGACGGACCTCTTTGAATGTGCTTATGTAAAGGCTCGCAGAGTATTTACAAGTGGATATTCTGATCAAACGTGGATTGATGCAGCCTACAAGTTCTATGTGGAGGACAACAAAGATGCAAAACTAGGACCCTTTGTTGGGATTGAGGTTTGGAAAATTTGTCGAGAAGTGTCAAAGTGGAAACATACAATGAAGAGCTGAGGAATGCACGTAAAAGGAAATCATTTCACCTTGAAGAAGAAAGGGATTAGGAAAATGATGAAAGTTTGGAAGAGATGCCAAATCGACCAATGGGTTAGAAGGCAGCCAAAAAGGCAGCTCTAGCTGCAAAAGGCAAGTCAAAAGGCTCCAGCAGTGAAGATGATGGTAACTCAAAGGAATTTGCTATTGATCTAGACAAATTAGGCAAATTCCAGGAGGAAACAAATGCAAACCGTATGAAGATATTGGAACTGCAGCAGAAGCTATCATCTGAGAAGCTTGAGACCACAAAACTTGCCCACCTTACTGCACAAGAGACCAAAAAGGGAAAGATGCTTGAGAAAGAATCAAAGATGATGGAGGCTTATAACAGCCTCATCTTACAAGATACAAGTTCAATGTCCGATGTGGAAAAGGCAGAGCGAGTTGCTGCCATGAAGTGTCTTAGGAAGGCAATTTTTCCTGAAAGTGACTGAACAGGTAACTTGAGCAACCTGTACACCTCTACACCTGCCATGAAGAATTTGAGCAACCTGAACCTCTCATTTTTGCAGGACATGGTGTGATCTACCTGATGCTGTCATCTGAGTGCTATCTACTATTTACCTGAATGTGAATGTGCTATCTATCTACTAGTGACTGTGAATGTGAATGTGAACATGTCATTTGAATGTGCTATCTAAATGTGAACATGTCATCCTGAAAGTGGCTGTGAATGTGCTATCTATCTGAATGTGAACATGCCATTTCAATGTGAATATGCTATCTATCTGAATGTGAATGTGCTATCTAAATGTGAATGTGCTATCTAAATGTGAATGAGCTAGCTGCTGGTATTAATTCATTTCTACTGTCAGTTCTGAAGAATCATGATCGGGCCTTTTTTTAGAAAACTGAATGCTGCTAGCTCATTCTATTGAGTATTGACAAAACTGATGAGTTCTTGAAGGAGGTTAGCTGTTGTTGTTGTGAATGAACCTCATAGTTGACCAACGCTTCTACCTGAAAATCTGAATATGCTGCTGCTGTTACCAATTTTTACCAAGCTCTATTAGTGTTGCAAGCTACTTTTGTGAAATTGGACAAGGACTGAGATCATATCAGCCTGTTGCATGCTATCATTTTTTTCTTTTAAATTAGCTGAGTTGCCATATGATTTTGTTTCCTCTCATGATGTATGGAGCTAAGTTGATGTATAGAGCTGTCATGTTGATTTCTGAAACTAGTGTGCAGGCTTACATAGTGTTCCATTTTTAAAAAAATATATGACTTATATTAATTTATATTGATGGTTTTAAAATAAATATTGTAATCATGTTCATCTAATTTATTTTTGATCCGTTTCTATCAAATAGCAACACAATTGTATACAAAATAGTGTTCACGGTTGATCTAGCTATATGCAAAGCATTAAACAGCTTACAGACAGTGCAACAGACTCTCCATTGTACGATATGTCTTTTTAGCTGTCTGTTTGCTAGATTCGAGGGTGTTGCAAACGACCCCCGTCTGTGGGTTGTACATGCCCTTAGTAGTTGTAGCCGCAACCAATAAGCATGGTAAGTTGACTAAGTTCGTAACAACAATGCGGTAAGTATGCTAAATCCGAATGTCATTGTAGATTATTCAGAAAAGATAATTCTTGATGTAGCTTTTCTTTTTTTATATATAAAATATTTCATTATAATTTTCGCTACAACTAAACAAGATGTTACGATAGGTAGTGCTTCCGTTTCAGAGTTCTGTGATTCTGTCACGCACGATGACACAAAAGAAGTAAGTTGGTTGTTTGCAGTGCACCTATCGATAATGGAAGATGGTCAGTTGAATCCAAGGGTAGAAAGGTGGTGTACCTCATGGAAAGGAAGAGCTGAATGCAACTGGGTGAACCATAGGTGATACTAGGTCGCCTACGTGTGCCATTTTCTATCCTTGTGCGGTGCCATTCATTTGCGTTTAATTATTCACATAGTTTTTTTTATACATACCTGCACAAGCAATGCTTAAAGTACGCTTAATAAAATATTAGCTAATATAATAGATTTGGTGGTATTAAGCAATAATATTTGCACAGATGCAGATCTATGGATACATAAAAACTAAGGGCCCGTTTGCCACGGCTTCCGCCGGCTCGGGCTTCCCTGACACCGACACTGTAGCACACTGTTCATAGAAGCGCCTTTTCTCTCTCCTCCTCTCCCCCTCTCACTGACACTCGCACTGTTCATCGGAGCCGGAGAAGCTCGTTTTCCTGGCTTCTCCGGCTTCATCTCCCGCGTGCTACAGTACCCGCGCTACAGTGAGTCAGGAAAGGTGGAGAGAGAAATCGGCTCATCGCTACAGTGATCAGCGCAGATTTTGTCAGGTGGAGCCGGAGCCGGCGGAAGCCGTGGCAAACGGGCCCTAAATATTCTTACCTCCTAGCTCTACTAAAAACACGAGAGACTTAAGACCAGGGCCATCTCTACTAAAGTACGGAGATAACTACTTCTACATGCAACACAATGCAAGCAACAAAAAATAATGTTATGAGACACATCTTGATTATGTATGACAACTAAAACCCAAGACCAAGGCCGTCTCTCAATAATTTCAAGGGCCTTTGGACAAAGAATTAGCAAGAGCGTAGCAATCTAATTTTTTAGGGCCTGTTTGGCATGGCTCTGACTCTGACAGCAGCTTCTGTGGAGGAATCGAAGAAGCCATACCAAACACTTTAGGAGGAGCCAATTTCTAGTAAATAGTAGAGGAGTTGGAGCCATTTTAAAGATTGAAGGAGGAACTACAATTTGTGGCTCAGAGCACTTAATGAGGAGCTATGCCAACAAGCCCTTAATATGGTGGTTGAAGTATATAGTACTACTAATAAGAGTTAACTTGTAGCATATGTTGGAAGTGGTTGAGAATAGCTGAATATCAAAATAGGAAGCGATGACAAGCTAATTCCTAAATGGCCTTTAAATTTTCATTTCAATGGACCACATAAATATACCAAGTACTATGTACATACATAGGCTGTGTGTTTAGTTGGGAGAAAAGTTGAAATTTAGCTACTGTAGCACTTTCGTTTTTATTTTACAATTAGTGTTCAATCATGGACTAATTAGGCTCAAAACGTTTGTCTCGCGATTTCCAACCAAACTGTGCAATTAGTTTTTTTTTCCGTCTATATTTAATGCTCCATGCACGTATCGTAAGATTCGATGTGATGACTACTATAGCACTTTTTGGAACTTTTTTTAACTAAACACGGGCATATACTCATGTGCCCCCTCGTGGCATGGCCCCCCGGTTGTCGTACTTGTTGCCCCACCCTCTTAAGACGGCCCTGCCCAAGACCTATATTCTTGTTGACTTAGATTATACTACATAAGATCCTATACATAAACAATCACAGCCACAATATAGGAGTAGACAAAGGAACTCTCAGCTGTTTACGGTGGAACATGTCCACTTGGGTTTAAGTATAGATGTCTAATTCACCAAGAAAAAGGAGAAGATAAACTGAGTTTGCCCATTAATCATCACACATACATGATTCATGTTGGTTAATCTATACTATACTACCACCTCTGTCAAAAAATGTAATCCTAAGTTTAGAGCAAGCCAAACTTTCTTAAATTTAATTACTTTATAACAAATAATACCTTTATTTGTATCTTTAAATGGATTTATTATGAAAAATATATTTCACAATTACTCTAAAAATATTTATTACACGTTTCCTAGTCTAGATTCCTGGATGGTTAGATTAAGATCTAATGGATACTGTTCATTGCCTGAAAGAACTTAAATTTCAAGCACCTGAGAAATAGCAACCCCCTATTTATTATGTATTATAAATATATTAAGTGTTTATATATAACAAATATTCCTCGGTTTGTGTCGTTGTATGTATTTATACAACTCATAGATAAAGAATGGGACCCCTAAATTTTGTATAGAAGTTTATGCATCCCGATTACTCCGCAAGTTTGTTTTTAGTACTAGCAGACTAGTAGTAGTAGCAGCTTATATAGGGGGAGAGAGTTGCATTTAGTTTTTGGACTCCACAAGTTTTAGAGCTATTATTATAGGTTCAGTTCGTTTCGCTGAAATTTGATACCGTTGCTTATACTAATTTGTTGTGAGAAGAAAACACTGTCGCTGAAAAATATTGTTAATATAGTGCTGAAGAACGTGGCAAAATCTTTTTCCATAAGTTCTCGCTAAATTACCATCCTCCTAAAAGAGACCCTGACAATTTATTTCAAACCCTGCACTCGATGTAATGTAGTGCTGAAGAACGTTTGGATTTTGGAAATCTTTATGTAGACAAAAATCTTTTTCCATAAGTTCTCGCTAAATTACCATCCTCCTAAAAGAGACCCTGACAATTTATTTCAAACCCTGCACTCGATGTACACCAATCTCTATTCATATATCGACTCTCCGGTCTCCGCCCCGCCTCATCCTGCCGATTTTTGTGACTTCCGACGTCCGTGGCCGGTGCACGGCTGCTTTCCACGGAATACTTTTTACCTCCGCCGAACACCGGTAAGACGAGAGCTGGGCCGGCAGACGGGCAGGAGCAGCAGGGGCAGACGGGCAGGCGCCAGACCCACGGGGATCTCACGCATCCCGAACGCGGCCACGCCGGCGCGGCGCGCTCTGCTCCCCCCTGTCTGCCTGCACGCCCGGCACGCACGCGCACACTCGCGCTCGGCCCTGCCCGCGCCCTCATCGTCTCCTCCCCTCAAAGCCCACCACACCACCGCCGCCCCCACGCCACCCACCCCACCCCCCACCCCCACCCCCACCGCGCGGCGCCCGAGGCCCAGACCCTCTCCCTCACCTCTCCCTCTCCTCACCTTCCTTCCCATCGCAATCGCAAGCCCCCCGGCTCCGGCGCTCGGCGGTCGGCCAGGTTCGAGAGATTATTACTTCGTCGCGGCGAGGAGGGAGGGGTTTTGCCGTGACCGTGCGGCACTTGGATGAGAAGGGCGGCGGCGGCGGAAGAGGAGGATGCGGAAGGCGTACAGGGACTCCATCAAGGTGCCCGAAGCTGACATCCAGCACGTCCCTCTACCCTCCCCCGTCCTGATTCCGGCGCCGCCTCACATCCCCTGTCGATTCTGCTTCAGTTCACTAGTACGGGCCGGTGTCCTTCTCGTTTCTCTGTTTGGCCTCCGTGATCGAGCGGGTGCTTGGGGGTTTCGGCGGGGGGCTGGGCCGCCGACTCCTCGGCCTGCTGCCGGGGTTGCGCAATGCGGCGGGCAGGGAGGGTGATGGGTTGATCAATCGAGCGTCCGGTTCGCCCTCCCTCCGTTGGGATCCGTTGTGGTGGTTGGTCCGGTGCCTGTTGTTGATTGCGCTATCCGTGCGCGCACGAGCGGCGAAGCGGCAGTAGATCAGGAGGGAATCGCATGTGTTTAGGATGTTAAAAAAAAAACTCTGCTTCCCCATGTGTTTCAGAGTTCTAAATTATATATCCTTTTCTTCTGCTTATATAAGAGGAAAAGGGGACGAGATGACTGCACTAGTGTGGTCTTTAGGTGAGGGTTGCCTCATCTCTGAGTGCATGTGATCTGCCAAGTGATGCTAGTTCCCTTGTTTATCTGGATGAGCAGGGCCTCCGAGTTTCCCCGGGACTATGATGGTGCGTGCCTGCAGATGCGGCTGTCGTACAGTCCCGCAGCTCATATATTCCTCTTCCTGGTGCAGTGGACGGACTGCAGCCTCGCCGGGGTGCTTGGTCTGCTGAGAATCCTCATATACAAGGTCTGTGGCATGCTCTGCTGCAGGTTTGTTGGTTCAGTGCTCACATTGTCGATGTGCCCTCCTGAATTTATGTGGATGGCACGACAACGATGTCGACTCATGAGAGGAAAGCCAGTATCAAAGAATTCTATGGTAAGAGTGTGTGATGTTCTTACATCTTTGCCTAACCATGCTATCTTTTGTGCTGCATTGCTGATCAGAGTTGTTATATGTTTGGCATGAGCAGCTGTGATATTTCCTTCTTTGCTGCAACTGCAAAGGGGGATCACTGATGTGGAGGACAAGAAGCAGAAGGCTGTGTGCATGGAGAGGTACAGAAAGAAAGATGAGGACGAACGGGGCTCTTTATCTGATATTGATGTTGAGAGGGAAGAGAAGTGTGGGATTTGCATGGAGATTTACAGCAAAGTTGTGTTGCCCAACTGCACCCATGCTATGTGCCTCAGATGTTACCAGGACTGGTATGCGCACAATTCAGTTTCTGCCCATGTGTTATCTGTGACCGCATTGAGTGTTATATTGATATATTCTCAAATTTCAATCGCCCTACTTTTACTGCTATGCAAGTGCAAACTTCTTGGATGGGCTGTTGTTATCATTATCGATTACAAGCCTTCTAGCTAGATGATTCATCTATATCATTCCTCAATGTATCTGTATCATGGTAAGGTAGATCCTGCTAAACATGAACTGCTGAGAACAATGTAAACTTATCTTAGTTGTTCTTTCCAGCAACTCATATGCTTGTAAACAAGATGGAACCCCTCCACGCATATGGGCTTATACTTCTTCTAATGAAACCTTTTGGTATGAAACTATGAATGGCCAATAGCTCAACAGAACATAGTGCTCTGTGAAACAGATCTGTATTCATTTATATGCTTTCCCATTGTCTACTTCATTCTGAAAATGAAGTGATCATTGGAAGGTGGCATTGTGATATTCATGTGAACTACAGTAAGTAGGCTTATTGTGGTGATTAGCCACCTGATTTTTTAAACTATGTTCTGCCATTCTTAGTGCAAAGAGGAATCTGAGTGTGGTGCCCTATCAAGTATTGATTTTTATTTTTGGTTCAGTCCACGAACATAATCATTCATCTTCTGTGTAGACTGTGCACTCTGTTTACAGCCCATTGGTTCTAGGCTACGAAGACACAGTACTCATTTGTTCACTTCAGCTAACAATTTAGCTCATTAAACTACTTGTGGTCCTGCTGATCATAGTAGCTTCAATGTTAGCAAACCCTGATGGTGGGTGTCTGTGATTTATTGTTCCTGTGTACTAGGTGTTCCTATGATATTTGTGGTTTGTCTGTTTCTTTTGGCCAATGTAACTTGTTCCTGTGTACTAGGTGTTCCTATGATATTTGTGGTTTGATTCTTTTGGCCAATGTAATTTTTTCAATCAGCGTAACTTGGATTGAATCTCTGAATGTGCTGTTTCAATGTTCATTGTATTATATCACCATTAAGATTGAGTGTCGTTTATGTTCCAGATACCATAGTTTGACAATAACATTGCCTTTTTACAGGAGTTCAAGATCGCAGTCCTGCCCATTCTGCCGTGACAACCTGAAGAAGACCTGTCCTGGTGACTTGTGGATCTATGTCGAGGACCAAGATGTGGTTGACATGGAGACAGTGTCAAGCGAGAACCTCAGACGGCTGTTCATGTACATAAGCAAGCTGCCTCTGATTGTCCCAGACGTCATCTTCAGTGTTTATGATTCCCACATAAAATGACTGCGATGCCTCCTCCCTGAAGACCTTCAGCCAGTGCTCAGTGCCCAGTTCCAGTTAATCTTATGCCCCCCATGTTCTCCATTTTCATGCTTTACTCAAGCTTTTGGAAGTGCCTGAACTGATTTGGAACCGCAAGCCTTCCTGTTGGTGCTTTAGAAACTTATTTAGTGCCTGCATGCATCCTTGATCATATGCAGCCACTCTGTACATATCTGATTTGGCTCAGTTAATAGAGAACTCTGTGCTTGCCCCAAATGGAGGCAGGGCTGTTTGTGTCTATCTCATGTTTCCATTAGTGATTACTGAAGCAACGCAAAGTTCTGGGCATTGGAAGGTTTCTGCTGCAAAGTTAGGATGCTAATTGGTAACTAGTTTAAGTAATAAATCTAGCCTAGTACTTTATACTTAATTAGTAAGGATCTATTAGTAATAAAGTATAAAAGGATCAGAGTTATCCAGAAATGTCCAACAAGCTAAACTACTTGACTTCTCCTTATTTTGTTATTAAGCTTGTCCTTGCAGGATAAATTGTACCAGTCAAACTTAGAACTGTATTAACACATAAAGCATCTAACCTAGAACTGAATTAATGACACATAAAACATCTAAGCAATTTAATTAAGCTAATAAACATCCGGTAGGCAAGCTGCCCGAGTCGTCGAGTTGGAAACGGAGCGAGGTACATTTTGTCGTCTGCGCCCTGCTCTTGTTTCTTTTTGATTGAGCATCTAAGCAGTGAAGAGATGAAATCTTGGATAAGTTTTTTACTACCTGCCACTGAGGGTATGGACATACTCGCACGCTGTCCATATCATAAATTTTTTATTATTATGTATTCCTCATGAAGAACGGGGCCTGGTGCAAGCGATAGAGTCTTACCGTCTGTGACCGGAAGGTCTCAGGTTCGAGTTGCGGTGCATTGGGTACGCCCTTTTTTTATTATGTATTTCTCATCTCCAATCTTATCCATATATATACACATTGGATAATGATTAACCTAACGGAAGAGCTGCGCTTTGAGCTAAACTATTCTATTAGTTTCTATTACTATTTCGCGCATATAGGTGTGCTACTCTACATACATGGCGTGGCTAGATTTTTGCAAAATTGATTAAAGTTTATTGGAGATGACTTAGTATGACAATAGCCTACTCTATGCAAAGTAGTGTGGCTAGATTTACATGTAGGCACCTCAAAAGCTGGGGCCTAAAAACTTCGTATTCACACATTAGAGTTTTAGCAAAATTGATTGGAATTAGTTAGAGATGACTTGTTATAACATGTGACTAATTCGTGCAGATTAGAGTGGCTAGATGTATTTGGGCTCATATCAGAAGTTAGGATTTAGGATTAAAAATCTCGTGTTCATATCATAGCGAAATTAACTAAATGTGTTGTAGAGATGATTCAATATGGAAGTCGATACGTTGTGCAGATTAGTGTAGTCAGAGCAATAGTGAGTCCCACATTAGAAACTTGAAGCTAAAATGGAATTTAGTTAGGCCCACATTAGAAACTTGAAGCTAAAATGGACTTTAGGTTATCTAGATCTACGTATTTCTAGTAATATATGTGTGAATTGAGCTAAAGATTCACCCATGGATAATCCACTCCCGTATTCTATTCTACCCTATTCATTTCTAATGGATTTAAAAAAATCTATACCCCATCTACATGAGGCGGATAAGAGTCCTTTCAAAAAAAAAGATGGATAAGAGTTTGAATGGGTCTATTTGCTCGGAGGAATTTGGAGGAATTTGAATGGTTTGGAGAAATGCTGGAGGAATTTGTGAGAGAAAAATACTGTTCCGGATGAAAAAAGAAGCGGATCAAGCCGGGTTTAAAGGCACGCGAACAGGGCCAATATGGCCACTGGGTAATGGGTACCACCACCAACTGTATCTGTAGACTGTAGTCATCCAGCACTCTGATTTTCTTTAACTAGTGCAACAAAAGCCAATGGTGGATGGTATTTCTTCTTCCTTAGCCAAAGCCTCCTTCCGGTGAGCTAACCCAACCCCAGCCCTTTTTGAATCCTCGGGCCAGATCCTAGAATGCAATCCGAGGGCTCTCACAAGCAAGCACATGGACAGTAAATGCAATGAGTTATGAGTACAAGGCCCTGATCAACCAAGTCACGAGCACGGCCACCATCACTGATATGTTGATTTAATTTAAGAAAATGAGAAATAATTAAAAAAAAATAACATGTAGCCGGATCCATGTTTCTCCATCCATCTGTTACATCTGTCCGTGCAAATTGACTTAATTCAAGAAAATAAGAAATAATGTCATGCAAATGTGTATTGTCCTTCTCTGAGTGACATAAGTTACAATGCCATTGTAAGACTGTCAGCTGCATCTTGCAGAACTACCAGTTTCCTTTCAAAACAATTTTATCCTTGTAACCTGCAAAACTGCAACACTGAAAATCTTATTTCAAAATCTAAAATGCAAGAAACATGTAAAGCATGAACAGAAGTACTCATACCTATCTTTGTACTGACACCACCCAGCATCAATTCTGTAAACTTGTCAATGTATATGCAGTGATGTACCACTGACACCAATCAGAATCTAAGGACCACTCAGCAGCTGAATAGCCTGTTCGTTTTGTCGTAAACGATCGTGGATTATTTACTGCTGGCTGGTTTGGTGTGAAAGAAAAAATACTGTTACAGCTTATAATCCACGATCATATACGAGCAAGCGAACAAACATCAGACTGACATAGTTCTAATACCTACTGCAGTAACAGTCAAGGATGAAGCAAAGAGAAGCAAACAGTCATGGATGAACAGTAACAGTCTCTTCCTACATATATGGCTGCCATCCAATTTTAGTAACAGGTGAAACAGTACAGTCATGTTACAAAGGAGGCTGCAGTAATATCCGTGGGAACAAAAGTTAGTGACCTTGACTTTAACATCAGAGACCAATGTGATCAAGTATTAGCCCTTTCTGAGTAAGAGCCCAGCTGTATGACTATTTAGGAAGCAGGATGAGATGTAGCAGCTTAGCAGTTCAGCTTGTGAACAAAATTTTACCATTTTGAATATGTATCAACTTGTGAAATACGTACAGAGTTGGAACTGAAACTGAAACAATACGTCTCTCAGTACTAGCATATTTGGATGACATGTTTTCACCTGAGAAAGGTATAGGAATATATAATTATTTAACCCTCTGATGGAACCTGATTCATCAAGACTAACTACAAACTAATTAACGCTGGGTGTTCTCCAAGACTCCAACCGTCCAACGCATCGGCCTTCCGTTGGGCCAGCCACTAGGGGGAATTGGTGAGTTTTCAGTTTTGCCAATTGCCATCACTGAGGCCATATCGGCCAGTTGGGCACTAGCTGAGCAACAAAGAGGTAATGCATCTGAGTTTATTTTATGATTTTGGTATAGTGACTATTCTATGCTTACACTAATTATATATTTGATTGTAAGGGATGAGAGTCTGATGGATTTACCTATTATATTCTACAAATCAAGCAAAAAGTTAGAAGTGAGAAGATAAGTAGATCACTCCATGTCTCAAACAAACATCCATTTGATTACTTATAATGGTCGCATATCAACAGGTGCCCATTTATACCGTTGGTTTGCTCTCTTGTATTGTAAATCAGCTTTGCCTAAGGGGTACTTGAATGTTGAATCAAATTGGGCTTTCGCTTTTCTCTGTGTGTCAGTGAGACTAGCCAGCTACTATTCAGTAAACATCTCTTATATAGTTACAAATAAGGTCAAAATTATCCATGAATTTCTTGCTGAGTTATATTGACCTTGGAGTAGAAACTGATATGGCAGCATCTCTGAACTGAATTGTCATACAGCCTGGGCGATATCCACAGTTGTAATTGCTGAAACCAAATGCTCATTTAATATGGCAGTAGTTTCAGAATCCTGAGGGAATTAACATGATCCTTACTACAGTTTGGAATCATCGACAAAAACTCTCACAGAAGCAGAGTGCGTCAAGAGAAATTATCAATTTTGAGAAGCATTAATGGCTCCACGCTAATGGAGTACTGGCCGATCAAGCACTGGTTCTCGTCCTCGACCATTCTACAGATCCAAGTACATCCGGTAGGCGTCCCTGTGCGGTGCGTAGTAGCCCTCGACGGTAGTGTCGACCTGGAACCCGGCCTTCCGATACAGCGCCACAGCCGCCGTCCTCGTCGGGTCGACGTGGAGGGAGAGCCGCTGGATCTTCCTCCGCCGGCACCGCTCCACTGCGGCCGCCAGTAGCGCCTCGCCGTGGCCCTGCCGCCTGCAACTCTCCTTCACTGCAACCAAAAGTTTGCAGTTTTGGGCACACGATTCAGACATTCCGGTCAACCTTAACCCAGGGAGAGAGGCCAGGGACAGGGAGACAGGGATCGCAACGTGTTGTCTCACCGGCGAGCTTGGTGATGGTGGCGCAGAGGGAGGTGTTGCAGGTGTACATAGCATACCCGATCACCTCCTCGCCGTCGGCGCCGGACGTCGTGTAGATCAGGCCGGAGTTCCGCCGCTTGAGCTCGTCGTGCAGGGACCGCGCCAGCGACTCGTGCTTCGGGAAGATCCTCCGCTCCAGCCGCACGATGTCCTCCATAACGCGGCCGGCTCGATCGTGCGACGGGTCCAGCTCGAGTATCGGCGGCGCCACCGCCGCCGCCACCGCCGCCATAACAGACGAGGGTCTGGATTTAGTCCCTCGTCGAGGAGAAAATTGAAAATTTGCCCTCACGACAGGCGGTCTTCACCCAAATGCCATCTAAGTGTGTGTGCCCTTACAAAAATGAGTCCAACACGTTATAATATTATTTTGAGATTTAAATCCACTTTTAATATTTTTCATCTAAAATTTTAGCCTGAACCGACCATTTTGTCCCTAAGCTCATTGACCCCTGCCCCCTTGCGAATTTTTTATATTTTAGCCTCCTTTTTTTAAAGTTTCTCATAAATAGACTCCTGACGGAAAGAATTCAGAAAATTGATCCTTAGCTCGGCGCCATTGATGCTGGCGCCGAGCTTCTGAGCACGGTGGATGACATGCCAGGGAGCTCGGCGCCAAGATCTACGGCGCCGAGCTCGGCGCCAGAGTGACTGACGCCGAGCTCCATGGTATGTCCCTGTGCCAAGAAAGCGACCCCAGTTTGCGGTGGTCGCGTCGCCGTGTCCCGTGGTGGCGTCACTAGTCACTAGTCACTAGTCACTCACCAACACTGTGCACACGTCGATGCTACCAGCCAAACTGTTGCCACTCGCCGGTTGCGCTGTACGGAGTATGTTTATTGTCACTAGTACTAGTGAGCATACACAGTTTTTTGAGAAATACTAGTGAGCATACTTTTCAGTGCCTCTTTTGGTTCTGTTTCAGAGCATACTCCGTACTACCCGTCACTAGTGAAGCTCAGAAAAATTGTTCTAGCAGGACTACTACTTTTGTCGAGACAATGAGTCCGTTTGCTGGTTGGTTTCTGGATTGGTAAGCCCGGCTGATGCCAGTTTATTACGAGAGGAAAACACAGTTGACTGGCCGATAAGCCCTGACTAAAACAACAAGCGAACATGCTGAATAAAATCCATCAAGAAAAGTAAGCAAGAGACCGATCGATCAATCGATGGATCAACAAACGAAAATATTCAGCATGTTCGCTTGTTGATCCACGAACATTTTATTTTCGTTTGTTGATCCATCTGAAACGAACGTTTTACCCTTGACTTAACACCATCAACGAATATTTTATTTTCGTTTGTTGATCCATCGATTGATCGATCGGTCTCCGCCTTACTTTTCTTGATGGATTTATTCAGCATGTTCACTTGTTGTTTCAGCCAGGGCTTATCAGCCAGTCAACTGTGTTTTCCTTTCCTAACAAACCGGCATTAGCCGGGCTTACCAATCCAAAAACCAACCAGCGAACAGGCTCATTGTCTCGACAAAAGTAGTAGTCCTGCCAGAACAGTTCCTAAGCTTCACTAGTGACAAGTAGTACGGAGTATGCTATGAAACGGAACCAAAAGAGACATTGAAAAGTATGCTCACTAGTATTTCTCAAAAAAAAGTGTATGCTCACTAGTACTAGTGACAATAAACATACTCCATACAGCACGAGCTGTAGTGCAGCAACAGCACAGGCACAACATTGTCATCTGGCTTTAACTTTTGCTGTTGTCGAGGTCCCTGAACGAGTGAACGCGAGACTTTCGTGACGAGCTCTAGTCCCCCGGGTCTTCGGCGAGAGCCGAGAGGTCGAGCTTGAAAGTTGAACCGAGCCTCACGCCGCGGCCATCCCATCCGGGTAGAAAATTCCCGCTCGGTTGGCTGCTCGCTTTGGATCGGTCTTGGCATCGCACTGGCCGTCTACAGCTGCCGCAGAAAATTACGGGTACCGGTGCCGCTAGTAGGCGTAGCAAGCTAGCGTAATCTCATTTTCACTTGACGGTTGCAACGACATCTACTGGTTACTGTCACACTTTGTAGATATCGCCGTATGGTATTGGTATCGTTCGTACAGCCACAGGCAGGCAGATAAGATTACATGCTTACAACGACGGTCCATTAGCCCGATGATCGACGCAGCAGGTAACGGCGACCGACGAGTGGCAACAGTTTGGCTGGTAGCATCGACGTGGGCGCAGTGCTGGTGAGTGACTAGTGACTAGTGACGCCACCACGGCCACAGTGACATGCCAGTGAACTCGGCGCCGTAGATCCTGGCGTCGAGCTCGGCGCTAGAGTGACTGGCGCCGAGCTCCCTAGCATGTCATCCACCGTGCCAGAGCTCGGCGCCAGAGTGACTGGCGCCTAGCTCAGCGCCAGCATCAATGGCACCGAGCTAAGGGTCCATTTTCTGAATTCTTTCTGTCAGGGATCTATTTGTGAGAAACTTTCAAAAAAGGGCTAAAATGTAAAAATTTGGGCCCCCCTCTCGGTCACACGGTCACGGCAAAGAACGTCCCCTTGGAAACCTGACCGACGCTACGAACAGAAAGGAGAAGGGAGCTCGAACGCAAGAACAGCAAACCGGCGGCCACAAAATTGACGAAAAACTAGACCAAATCAAAACAAATCGCGACCAAACTTTTCACAGGCCATCACAAGGGAGTTGGTGAGCATACCCTAAGAGATCATCGCCCAATTTCAACCCAAACTCCAAGAAAATTAGATCACGACCAAGAACATGAAAAACTCCCCCAAAACGAAATTCGTTCAATTTCTTCGTGCTCGACTCAGATTCAATCAAATTCACTTAAGGGGTAGCATCAACTCATGTCATATCACGAATCTGAGCAAAAAAAGAACGAACCAAATCGGTCTCAAAATGAAGAATCAAAGCAAGAACGGGAGTGGGAAAACTAAGAAAAAAAGCTGCAAAAATAAAATCACAGACACAATCCCTTGAATCCCACACAGAGGTGTTAATTTGATCTCATCAATGGAGACTTTTTCATCTTTGAGATAAGTAGTGTCATTGCCAATTGGTGCCGTCCTTTCACAGATAAACACAGAGAAGGCAAACATTGGAACAACAGGCATTCTAGGCCAAACCCTAGAACACGAATCGAAATCATCGAAGGGATGAATCAGAGAGGCAAAAGCAAAATCCCAAAATACAAGAGGAAATGGGAGCACATGAGACTGCTCTATGCCAACCGCGGCACCGCCAAGACCCACCGGCACCGGGCACGAGCACCATGAGCGGCCACAACGGGAGAGAGGGAGAGGGGGAAAGATGAGGACGACTGGCCTGCAAGGCCATGCCTTTGCCCTGCCCTGCGCCGGCCGCGCGCACGGCCTAGTGGTAGATCGAGACGGAGGGAGAGGGAGAGGGGAGGGGGGCCGCCCGCGCTGCGCCACCTCGCAGGAGGATGGCCAGCGCAGCGGGCCCGTACGGTGCGCCTGCACACCGGGAGAGGGGAAGAGAGAGAGGCAACGCGACAGCGGCGCGCCACGCCGAGTCGGGCTCGCCCGCCACAGCACGGCGCAGGGAGGCCGCCGCATTCAGGCCCGCCGCAGCGCCACCACCTCGGGAGAGAGAGGGAGAGGGAGAGAGAAAGGGGAGGTGACGGGAGCGAGAGAATGAGAGGGGGAGAGAGGAGAGGACAGGGGTCAATGAGCTCAGGGGCAAAATGGTCAGTTCAGGATAAAATTTTGGGTGAAAAATATTAAAAGTGGACTTAAATCTCAAAATGGCATTGTAACGTGTTGGACTCATTTCATAAGAGCATTTCAGCGAAACCCACAAACTTGATGGTATTTGGGCGAAGCCCACCTGCCATGAGGGCAAATTTCCAATTTTCTCCTCATCAAGTGATCTTTGGTACTCGTCTTTTGTACCGGATGACATCTATAACAAATGCAAAAAATAGAATTTTGCCATCCTCGGAATTTGCCTTTATCAAACACAGCCAAAACGCTAGAATACCCTGTCGACCCATTTGATACTGGCGTACACTTTCTATTTCACATTTACCCTTGCCCCTTCGTTCTAAAGGGATCAGCTCTTCATTCTAAAACAGATCGGCTGTGTCGTGGAGGGAATACGAACGAAGTGATCTGGGCAGGGAAGGAAAGATCGGCCACGCTGCCAGCCTTTTACCCCATCGATGCCTCCCCAGTCCCTTCATCCTGAAAGTCTTTTTTTTTTTTGCGATTTTCATTGTGAAAGTCTGCTATTTCATTCTCTACATAAAATCAGCAGCATAATTGATAAAAAAATTAGACAGCATATTTGATAAAAAAAACTGGACAGCACATATCAAGCCAGTCAGCATAAAATCAGGCATACATCACATAGAAGTTCATAAAAGACAGACAATGATACAAGTTCACAACTTTAGTTGGTCTTCATTTTCCTTCAGATCAACTTCCTTGCAATTCTCTTCTTTCTTGTTGTTGCATGAGCCTTGGTGGGCTAGGCACTTGTTCCTTCTCCCATGAGGAATGCAAGACGGCTGAAACTCATGTAAAAAAAATAATAGACAGGAAGGAGATAGCTAGCATCATTCTCTGTAATAATATTGTAATGTTTACCTTCTTGTCAACTTAATTGGGCTTTCCTGTAGCCAATCTAAACTCAATCATGGAACTATTCTACGTTCAGGCTCCAATCTCCAATTGGTCCCAATCAACACCGTTTCCATTGCCACCAGTAGCACCAGCATCGTTAGTTTCTCCTACATGAAATATTCTACGCTCAGGCTTCACCGCCCTGTTCGTCTGAGCTTGTTTGGCTGATAAGCCATGACTGAAAATACTGTTGGCTGGTTTGGTGTGAGAGAAAAATACTGTTCGTTGACTGATAAGCCATGGCTTATAAGCCAAATACGACCAAGCGAACAGGCTCACATCGAGCCTAGATAAAACCAAGAATGGATGAACAAGTTAGAATACTACTCGCAGAGCTAGGTCTACTGGCTTCCCAAACGAAGTTTGATGCCTATGACATTGGAAGAAAGGGAGTACATACCGAGGAATAAGATCACCTCAACTGCAATCCATGGGGTTTGATTTGAACCATAGCAGCTGCAATCCATGTGGCGAGTCCGGATTTGGAAGAAGTGGGGCATGATGAGCGCGCTAGCGGCACCGGCTCTCCGCGGTGGCGGGGGCCGATGGGAGGCAGCAACGGCGAGGGGGCGCGACGTGTGGGAGGTGGCGCTGGCGAGCCCTGGCGGCGA